CGAGAGAGGAGAGAGAGAGAGAGAGACCAAGAGGATGAGAGAGAAAGGAGGCGAGAGAGAGGAAGCCCAGAGAGAAGGATGAGAGGAGAGAAGGAAAACAAAGAGAAGAGAAAGAGAAGAGAGAGATGAGAAGAGAGAGAGAGGACGAGAGAGAGAGAGACGAGGAGAGAGAGAGAGAGAAGAGAAGAGAGAGAGAGAGAGATGTAGAGAGACGACCGAAGCATGAGAGATGAGAGAGAGGAAGACGAGAGAGAGAGAGAGAGGAGGTTGGAGAGAGAGACGAGAGAGAGAGGAGCAGAGAGAGAGCGAGAGAGAGACGAGAGAGCGAGCGAGAGAGACAGAGAGAGAGAGAAGAAGAGAGAGAGAGAGAAGAGACGAAGGGAGAGAGAGGGCTGAGAGAGAGGAGAGAGAGCGCAGAGAGACCGAGGAGAGAGAGAGAGAGAGAGAGAGAGAGAGAGAGAGAGAGAGGGGGCGGCGAGAGAGAGAGAGAGGAGAGAGAGAGGAGAGAGAGGAGAGAGAGAGAGAGAGAGAGACAGAGAAAGACATGCACGCCGATCAACATAACAAACAAATGTTTGTTGTTTATTCACCTTTGATATCTATATATATATATATGTTGATATATACTTAACTGTATGCGAAATGTTATCAAGACTCAATGGTTTCAAGACCTTTAGATATTTTCTCAGACATTCGCACATATATTTAAATCAGAATTTTTCACTGATAGTACCAAATACAAGAATCATAAATATCCCGCGATGTAGCTGCCATTCCTGCCGTATATGATTGTCATCAGGGGGGAGTAATGATAGATAATAATAATATCGAATATCGATTATTATTCACTCCTGTTGTCGTCATACATGCCATGCAGGGTAAAAAATACACGGGAGCGATGAGCGATGAGCGATTCAAACCTCCGAAATCGCTCCCGTGAGGCTCAAAATAGCTCCCGTAAAATCTTTGCCCAGGGTTAATTGCCATAGATCTTCATGCTGCTGCAATGCCGTTTGCTGCAGGTGAAAAACCAGGGTCGGGGAAAAATTGTACGAGTAGAATAAAGTACGCCGTCAAGAGTCCGAAGATCTAGAAGGTAATGAAATTGACAGCGTCAGGTTGCGAAAATACTACTCGCTTAGTGGTACTCGGCTATATGCCATCACGTGCGTGATCTATGTCGCTGTACTATCAAAGGCACTGATAGAAAAACAACAGGTAAACTTTAACTTGCGTTAATTACAACTGGTTTTAAGCACAAGCTGTAAATGACTTCATCGTGTTTGATTCGAAACAACGGGAAATGTAAAATTCGGTTCCTCGTGAAGATGTCACGTAATAATTCGCTCGTACCGTTAAGAGTAAACTCCGGTTGATAGTGAAGCAGTTGTATGCAGTGAGTCCGATAGACTTGTGGGTTCCATTACCGATAACCTTGCGCCAAACATGTGCATCTGAAATAAAACACAAATGGAAGAAAACAATCCTAAGAGAATATTGCAACATATAAGGTGTAAAATAGAGTGTATGACGTTACGTATTCCAGTATTTGATATGAGCAAAAATAGTGTCAGTCACGTGATGAATGGTACAAGCACTAGACTGGCACGCTGTCTTTAAACATATATACATTATATCAAGAGCGTATTAAGAAGGTATATTATACGCTTCTTTATACGCTCTTGATTATATAGACGTCGTTTGAGAAAGTGTAGAGACACGGTACCACTCTATCCACGGTACTTGCATGCCTGTGGATGAGGGAAGCCTACCTCCAATCTTTCTTCATTTGACGGCGTAAGCAATACCAGGTTATTTATAGTTGACAGCGGACTGTGAGCCTGAAAAAAGAACAAGAGATTCTCGTAGAAAACGTGCAGACGCTTACAATGATTTTGTAAGAAGTACGTTCACATCTCAAGCGTGTTTACTTGCGACCCTCCGGGAACATCCCAGTCACCATGACAACAACGCTCGACTGTTGCGATCCTCTACGTATGATTGACGCTCTGTGCTATTGACGAATTAAACGCGATACAATCAGGAGTGGATAAAGGGACACATTATCCCCCTTTATCCACCCCCTTTATTCACTCTCTTTATCCACTCCCTTTATCCACTCCTGATACAATGACAATCATTTTCGGTCATTTAAAGATGTTCCAGAGGCGGACCTACCATTTTCGTCAGCCTGGTCGCTGCGAGGGTTAGACTGACTGCGTATATCACACTGATATCGCGACGTAACAAGCGCCGCTTAAAATCACGAACAACGCCATCGATGTGAGGCCTATCATTTTTACAGTGTGGGTGGTGATGTAGAGGAAAACGCACTGCAGGACAACAGTTACGCCATAGGTTGCCAGAAGAAGCGGTCCAAAGATGGCGTCGGTGCGCGCCACTAGCGTGCAGAGGTACTGGTGGCGCCGCATCACTCGTCTGCAAATATCCATGCGAGGAAAGCTTCCTCGGCCGAGTACCGACGTCCTGTCGCTCTCCTCCGCCACGATATCGTCGAGAATTGCCGTTAACTTGGAGAACCCATAGCGTCAGTAACTCGCACAGACAGCCGATCAGCGAGATGGGCAGCATGAATATGTAATACAAGCCAGCATCGAATAAAAACTAGCAACGGTAGGAAAAAACGTTACCTTGTCAGTATAGTCTGAAGTGAGATTGTGTGAGGTTGTGCTGCGAGAATAAGGTATGTACCCAATACTGGTGAAAAGTACGCAGACCCTGCTATAGTGCTAAATTGACGTCACGAATTTTCTATGGTGCATATTTGTAAAAAAAGTTGTTGCAATTTTTTACATGAAAAATAAGTATACTAACAGGACTAAATGTATCCTCAAATTTTGACTTGATAAGATTGTTTCTCAACTAGTTAAAAATCGAAAAAACCTGGGCGATTTGCTATAGTGATCACGACATTAAATGCTTGCTATGGGCTATGTATGAGTCACGAGTGTTTGTTCACATCAAACGGAATAGCAAGAGGACAACAAACGGAAGAATAATGCAGCAACTTAACCATAAAAAGTGAACAGAATCACTTACATTTTGTGAAAAAGTGGACATAATTTTTTTTACTTTTATTATTTATGGTGACATTGCTCAGCACACGTCCGCAGACAAACATCTAAAATCTAACGTCATCCATCTCGACGTCGATTTTCTTTAGCACTAGTTGTTGGTTTAGAAACGTTACAGGAACACGTTAACTACTGAAGGCTGCCCAGGGGCCTCCAGATGTCTAAATCCTGCCCTGATATTCTGCAGCATCTTGGTATAGCGAATTCGATATTCTTAGGTATACACTCCAATCTCAAGTTGCATTGAAATAATTGGTGAATTTTCTCGTGCAGGTTACCATGAGTATTAATGCCGTAGCCGCCGGCTTGGCGTTGCTGCTAACCGCTTACGTGTGGTTTCCTGGAGCTGTGCGAGAGTCCAGCCTGTTTACTTGCTCCGTCATCGCGCCAATGCCCAACGAAATAACGTGGAACAACAACTACTGGCAGGAGATTGGGGAAGGTTCCTTGTTCATTCTAAGCGCCTACGAAGATCGGAGATTCCAGCCTCACTACGTCCGCATTATGGGCATGGAATCTGTAAAGCTGTCGGCTGGCAAGTTGACGTGCGTGCTGTGGTACGGCGGTGGCAGACACGATGTGGTCGCTGCAACACGACTCAGGATGTGGATACCCAATGAGATACTAACTCAAGATGGCAGTATCACGCACATTGCCTACGTCTACTCCTGTCCCATATCAGACGGGCGGGAAATATCACCTTCCCACGTTTCATTAGCGTTTGATCTTTGCGATCCAATAACAAACGCCGTCGACGTGACGTCATACGGCCAACCCGAGAAGCTGCAAGATCAAGACCAACAAGAAAACAGTGTAAAAAACACAGCAGTGCCTTCTGGCAAAACCGCTCTGTGTGTCAAACCGATGAATTTCCCTAGACAGGACATAGCGCTGCGTCTGGCAGAATGGATTGAAATACAGCGAGCGCAGGGCGTAGATGCAATATTCACCTACGTTTATGACGTCACCGACATCACCATGATGGTTCTGAGGCAATATCAGCAGCAAGACGTTGTCGATTTTGTCTTCACGACCCTTCCTGGCCGTCTGCCAAATGACAGAGAGAATCGAACCGCGTTCCTCCGCAGAACAAGCCGACAGACGCAATTCCTTGAGAAGGTCATACTCAACGACTGTTTCTACCGCCACCTGGCGTACGACTACGTTGCCATTCTTGACGTCGATGAGGTCGTCTTTCCACTGCAGCATCACACGTTGCCGGAGTTGCTCGACGAATTGAGTGACGTTTGCGTAACCTTTGACCTGCAAGATCCAGACGTTATGCGGGCAATACGAGAGCTCGAAGGTCAAGTCGAGGTTGGCGGTGAACCATCGGAACGCCACGTGGCCATGTTTCCTGACCTCACCGACCACTATGATAAGGAACAAGGGTCCGAATCTAACGATGCTACGCGTGGCCGGCCGGTTGACGAAGAATTTCAGCTTGCTCTACCGTGCGCCTCGTATTGCTTTCGTCAGAGCTTCTTCCTCGATGAATTCCACAAGCAGGACCACGATGACATTCCCGAATACCTTCACGTCATGCAGCACACTAACCGCTCAATGTACGTGCTTCGAATCCACACATCATTCCTTAAATGTATATTCGATACGAATGCCAACGCTGTTACTGGCAACCACATTTCGTTTCATGCGCAGCCTGGCTACAAAAAGATCTGCTTAGTTGACGAAAGGATGGCGCTGCTGCATCACTATAGACACAGCTGCAACAGTAGCTATCAACATAGGCAAAGAGAATGCGACAAAACCTTGCACGATACCATACAAGAAGAGCGTATGGCCTGGAAATATCTTGACCCCGTGCGTCAGAACGTACAGCAGATGATGGTAACGCTAAATATCACTAAATAATAGATCTAAAACGTCTACAAAGTTTTCACCCGAATATTAAAACGTGGATAGAAACTATCTTCCTCAACTGTATTAACCTCATAACCTCATAAGTGTTAATCTTCAAAAGTCCTGGGGACTATAACGAAGATGGAGAGAGAAGTGGATCAAGTCGGTAGATCTCCTTTGGCAAAAAAATCGGGGGCGGGAATTGCCATTACGTCACGTTCAGGTCTTAACGGATTTTGCTCCATTCTTTGGTATTCTGTGATGAAATAAGCGCCTAAGGGTTTTGATATTGTAAAAAAAAATATGGCAAATAGTAGGGTTTCGGCAATTATTTAAAGGATATATATAGACACAAACAGTGTGGTGTCACACTTCGTCGGGTCGTTTTTTACGAAGATTTCACCTCTGACATAGCTTCTCAATGCAAGTAATTGGTATTTCCTCTCCACAGCCTGCGCTGCATTAAAACGTCTGATATTAGAGTAAGAGTTTCTCGACCAAAATATGCTCCGCGCCAACCCCAGCATAACCTGATTTATTTCAAAGCGATACAAACGGGTATAGCGCCATCTACGGTCACAACTGTGCTGGATTCATTTTTAGTTTATAAATTAATTATTCGCGAGATATCATCTATACACGATGCAATCGTTTTATAATGTACGTCATATTGCCTCAATTTAAAACTGACCTTCCTTCTTACTCACTCATTTGTGTCCTATTGTGTGAGTGTGAGCTACAGTTGTCATTGACACTTTCACTATTTCTTTGCATCTATCAAGACATTTCCCACTCTGGAATTCAAGCAGCCCGCTAACGGACGACCAAAGCGGACAAATTCCAATATTTGCGGAACTACGTCTTTTGGGGCGACGACGAATGAGAGAGAGAGAGAGACACAGGGGACCAGAAGACACAGCAGTGGAGACAATAGAGAGCACAGAGACACAGAGAGACACAGAGACAGACACAGAGAACGGACACAGAGAGAGCCAGATGAACGGACGACGAGAGGAGGCGGGAGAGCACAACAGGACACACAGCAGAGAGAGCGAGGCCGGAGCTGGTGAGAGACAGAGAGACAGCAGAGCACAGAGAGGACAGCAGAGACAGCAGCAGACACAGAGACACAGCGAGACACAGAAGCACAGACACAGAGACACAGAGACACTAGAGACACTAGAGCACCAGAGACACAGAGACACAGAGTGGGAGACACAAGCACAGAGACACAGAGATCACCAGAAAGAGAGAGAGAAGACCCGCGTGACGAGGACTTGAGCGAGAGACACAGAGACACAAGAAGACAAGTAGACACACAGAGACACAGAGAGCACAGAGAGACCCCAGAGACACAGGGAGAACAGAGACACAGAGACACAGAGACACAGAGACACAGAGACACAGAGGAGACACAGAGACCACAGAGACACAGAGACACAGAGACACAGAGACATCAGAGACACAGAGACACAGAGACCGAGAGACACATAGAAGCACAGAGGGGGGGGGGGGGGACACAGAGACCACAGAGACACAGAGACCACAGAGACACAGAGACAACAGAGCACACAGGAGACAGCAGAGAACACAGAGACACAGAGACACAGAACACGAGACAAGACACAGAGACACAGAGACACAGAGACACACAGACACAGAGACACAGGACACCAGAGACACAGAGACACAGAGACACAGAGACACAGAGACACCAGAGAACAGAGACACAAGAGACACGAGAACACAAGAAGACACAGAGACACAGAGAGAGACCACGAGACACAGAGACACAGAGGACACCAGAGACACAGAGAGACACAGAGACACAGAGACACAGGAACACAGACAGACACAAGAGACACGAGACACAGAGGGGGAAACACGAGATAGGAAGAACGGGCGGAAAAAGAGGAAGAAACACCAGAAGACCACAGAGACACAGAGACACAGGAAGACACAGAGGACACAGCAGACACAGAGACACAGAACACAGAGACACAGGAGACACAGCAAGACACAGATGAACAGAGGACACAGAGACAAGAGACAAGAGACACAGCAGACACAGAGACACAGAGACACAGAGCACAGAGACACAGAGACACAGAGACACCAGAGACACAGAAGAGACACAGGAGACAACAGAGACACAGAGGACACAGAGGACACAGAGACACAGAGACACCAGGACACAGAGACACAGACCACAGAGGTACACAAGACCACAGACGACACAGAGACACAGAGACACAGAGACACAAGAGCAGAGAGACACAGAAACACAGAGACACCAGAGACACACGAGACACAGCAGACTCACAGAGACACCAGAGACACAGAGACACAGAGGACACAGAGACACAGAGACACAGAACACCAGAGACCACAGAGACACAGAAGACACAGCAGACACAGACACCAGAGACACAGAGACACAGAGACACGAGTAGACACAAGAGACACAGAGACCAAGAGAGCACAAGGACACAGAGAGCACACAGAGGGACACAGAGTACCCACAGAGACCGAAGACACACGAGAGACACAGAGACACAGGAGACACCAGAAGCACCACAGAGACACAGAGACACATGCGAGAGCACGGAGACAGCAGCAGACACAGAGGACACAGAGACCCACAGAGACGACAGAGACACAGGAGAGCACAGAGGACACAGAGACACAGAGGACACGCAGAACAGTCGAGTAGGGCAGACAGCAGAGACACAGAGACGACCAGCCTCGCAGGCGAGACACGCGACAGCAGGAGACACAGAGGAAGATTGAGGAGGGGAGAGAGGAGCGGCGAGAGAAGGAGAGGAGATGGCGGAGGAGGAGAGGAGAGGAGAGAGGAGAGGAGAGAGTAGAGAGAGAGAGAGAAGGGAGAAGGAGAGATCTGCAGGCAGTCAAACATACAAAGCAGAAATGTTTGTGTGTATGTTATTCAGCCGCTTGGATTTAGTAGGACCGTCAGTAACGCGGGGCGCCGGGGGGGTCGCGGGGCCCCTCTGGCCCGCTGCTTGGGGGCCCGCGGCGAATAATATATTTATATATACTTACGTATATATTATATAGAATATATATATGATCATATATATATATATATCTGCATATATCTACCTTAACTGTATGCGACAATGTAAATTCAAGGAACTCAGATGGGTTTACCAAGACCGATTTAGATATTTTCTCAGACATTCGCACAATATATTTAAATCAGAATTTTTCCACTGATAGCTACCCACAATACAAGAATCATAAATATCCCGCGCATGTTAGCTGCCATTCCCCGCCCGTATGGATCGATTAGTCATCAGGGTGGTGAGTAAATGATAGATAATAATTAATATCGATTAGTACCATGGACGCTGATAAAATCGCTTCCAATCTGCATTGGGATAACGAGCAGGCACTCATGGAAGTGATAGCGTGTTTTACCGCGCCTGATTCGCGGGCACGCGTCATCGCTGCAGCGACGCACTGGTTTATTCTATAACGCGCATTAGCGTGTTGTTTACGTCACGAATCTCCTGCGGCGAGCTGGGGCTCTGGATGGGCGCCGACGGCAAGGAACTTTTGGAAATGTAATCTAGCGGTTTTGTGGCGCGGGCGCCGGTTTATACATCGAATGCACCCGCTGCGTGGGGCAACGCGAGGCCGGCGGGCGTCGGCGGCGATGTAGGGAGAGTTATAAGAAAGGTAGTACTACGCCCATCTGAAAAGTAGGTATTGCAAGGTCCATGTGACTGGCACGCTAAAGAACGATTAATGCCTGCTGTGGCGGCACTATGCTGCTGCATAGTCGTTGCTTTGGGTAGAGGGATAGCTCCTCGCTAGCCGCGGCTGTCCGGGCGCACCTGGGATGTCCTTTCCCGTCAGCGGCAAGACACTGAGGGGTCGAGAGGAGGGGGGTAGTAGGCCCCCAGACAGCACGCTTTAATATATAATTATTATTCACTCCTGTTGTCATCATACATGCCTATGCAGGCGTTAAAAAATACACGGGAGCGATCTGCAGCGACTTCGCTCTTTTTCAACCTCTCCGAAATCGCTCCCGTGAAGGCCTTCAAAATAGCCTCCCGTTAAAAATCTTTGCCACGTGCGTTAATTGCCATAGATCTTCATTGCTGCTCAATTGCGTTCTTGCTGCAGGTGAAAAAACCAGGTCGGGGGGAAAATGTACGCAGTATAGAATAAAAGTACGTCGTCAAGAGTCGAAAAGGGTCTAAACGTTGGTAATGAAATTGACAGCCGTCAGCGGTGGCCTTGCGAAAATAACTACTCGCTTAGTGGTACGTCGGCGCTAGTATGCACTACGTGCCACCGGGCCGACCGGCCGTGATCTATGCCGCGCGTGTCTGCGCGCTGTCACTATCATAAAGTCACTGATTAGAAAAAAACAGGGTAAAACTTTAACTTGCCGCTTGAATTACCAACTGGTTTAAGCACAAGCTGTAACCATGACTTCAATCGTGTTGATTCGAACAAGCCCGGGAAACTGTTAAATTCGTTTCCTCGTGAAGAAAGTCACGTAAATAATCCGCTCGCTACCGCGTTGAAGAAGAGTAAAACTCCGGTTTTGATTAGTGAAGCATTTGTATGCAGTGAGTTCCGATAGATCTTAGTGGGGTTCCATTACCGATAACCCTCCCAGCCAAAACATGTGCATCTGAAATAAAAACACAATGATGGAGGAGTAACA